GTCCAAGACACACGGTCGCAGATCCGATGAAACGATGACAAAATCGATCATCGAACTGCGTCAACTTAATGTTGACAATCTAAATTTGAAATTATTTTTAAAACAAGTACTATCAACAATGTTGATGTATCAAAAATAAAAAAATGTTATGTTAACGTACCAAATATTAACCCAGTCTAAAATAGTGTACAGTTTTACACTTTACAATAGGGATCCCTTTAATATGTGTGGATATTTATAATGCAGTAATACAGGACATTATTATATGTTAAAATATGCATTTACTAATCGTTGTTATGCTTACAAGGTAGTAAACTAGTCGGAAATGTTTAATACCCAAACAGATTTGGCTCAGTATTTGGTACTTAACCGGACAGTTTAGTCTCTTTTTTTACCTTAATTAATGCATAATAAACACTTAATAATTTATAAAGTGTTTACAGATGAATTAATAACCTATGTATAAAATCTTTAAAAGCCATATATAAGGGGAGCCTTATTGTAAACTGGTACTTTAAAAAAATGCATTACATTACAAGTGTTTGAACATGTATGACTGGTTAAATGTATACACCTTACCAAAACTGGGGGTTTGTGGGAAAGGATGTTGAACAAAGACTTGGCCCCTCTATGATGGCCACTTACTCAAAAAAAATTTTTTTTTAAATCCTAGATCCGCCACTGTGGGAGTGACATCAAGATCTGATCTGTATGTTGCAACAGTATATAAAGTTAGCCATTAGAGCTGTCTGTTAGCATAGATCTTTGCAGACAGCCTGATGGCTCTGTGTTAATGTCTGTGTTCTTGTTTAYTGCAATAAACAACCTCAGCTGACCATTCTACAAAGTGCCTTTATTTCTGAATCATATATTTATGTCCTTGTTAAATAAATGTTTTTACAACACCTGGTATCCTTGAATGACTCCATTGTGGCTTTCAWGAGGAGGAGGTTCCCAGCTCAGACGGATGCTGGTATTCTGCTCATAGTTGACCGTAACAAACACAGCCTGAGGAGGAGCTCCGGGCACTAACACAAARAGAATAACTCCATAACAAATCAATCAAAACACATCTTAAAGCACAAAAACAATCCCAACCTTCCTCACCTTTCTCAGGGACYCTGAGGAACTGCGTGTTGCTCTCCCTTCCATACAAGTTGCTGCCATATGGTCGAACCTTGAACTCGTACTTATAGCCCCTCTTCAGAGGACCGACCTGAGCCTGGAATCTGGGCAGAGTTACCGTCTTTGCTGCCCAGTCTGAGCTGATGGGCATTAAAGAGCGATAGAGGACTTCAAAGCCACTGAGGTAATGTGGTTGTGTTGGGAAAGACTGAAGCTGGTCACAAAAAAAGAGAACTTCTATCAAACACCTGATACATTCAACAGCTCTTTGTAACACTCAGTCACTGCTGCTGTACCTTCCACTGGACCAGAGAAACGTTGGATCCAGTGTTGATGATGGAGACGTTCTCCAGAACCACTCGGAGCATKGACAGTTCTTTGTGGAGGTCTTTCTGCTCAGTGCTGGCAGTCCCTACAAAAGAAAATGTTTTATTCATCCCAACTTGAAACTCCTTTTAATGGTTTTTGTTTTTAATGTTTTTTTTCCTCAGTCATTTTTCTTTTTCTATATTTCAGGGTAAAACAAAGGTTTCTCAACTTGCCTCTAACCCAACAGTTTATAGGAATAAAATGTTGTTTTCTTTTAGAAATCAA